CGTATGCAAAGTCTGAGACCAATTGGTTGTCGTATGTAAAAGTTATGCACGTTTTACTTTCAAAAACAGCATCTCAGGAAATACTTCATGCCTCCCCCCATCCCCCTCCGCTTAAGATAGCGAAATTTGATGGCCGTCTGGCACACCTTCAAGGGATAGGACGGTCGGACGGACGGAAACATAGCACATTTTTTTAATTCTTAATAAATTCGCTAAAAAAAGGTCAAAACTGCCTAGATATTTTTACGTAGAATCTTGTCTAAGAATTTGACCAACAGTTGGTAGTTTCACAAAAACGTTAAGATCTCAATTAAGTCTCTATCTTGAAACACGGCTGAGATACACTGCAGCCTCAACCAAAATAGGACACGTGGTACATTGTAGTGGTTAGTTAGAAACACATCCGAAAGTAAAGAGATAATTTCCCCGAATATTGATTAATTTAAATAAGTTCAGGTTCAGCCATTGATAATTAATTAAGTCATAATTCATTCCGCGTTGACTAACATGGAATTAATTACGTCATAATTAATTTTCAGTTTACAGGTACGGAATTAATATGTAAATGATTAATTGCTTGTTTACTAACGAGGAATTGTCATGTTTTGATGTTTCTTAATCGTAAATTAATAAACATTTAATTTTGTGTTTGCAAGCGGGAATTAATTATGACGTGATCAATCCCGCGATACTAAACTGGGATTGAATGCTGATGACTTTTTCCCGTAAAATTGGTGCATAAATAACCATTTTGATATCCCTTTTACGAAACCTATGAGTTCATTTATGACCAAAATATTACTGGTACATAAAGTATACGCCCACATACATATGCATGACCAACAAGTTAAAAAGTAATCGTAAACGATTTACAAAAAGCGGTTTCTACTTGTATTCATTGCCCATTTGTAAGATGCAACTTCTGTTAAAATCGTAAAAATCCGGCCACAAATATGAAAGATAGCGTTGCAAATGTGCAATCCATTTTTGACGTGCTACTTCAATTTCGGTTTATAAGAAGAATTTTATTCCAATGCTTTTCTAAATAAGAAAGTTGGAACTGCGCATGCTCAAATCTAAATTTTGAAACCAACGTTAGACTTTCCTTTTTTCCAAGCGCCTTTGCATGAAATTTCATTTAAATGCTCCCATAAATAAAAACTTGACACTGCGCATGCGCACAACCAAATTTTGAAGCTGGCGTTAGATCTTGATTTATTCCAACTGCCTATTTATCAAATTTCATTTAAATACTTTTATAAATAAAAAAGTTTGCAATTCGGTTTATAAATGGTCGAAATGCGAAACGGGCACTGTGAATTTTGAATCGATTTGACTCAACTTTTGGAATTGCGTATTATACGGCTACAGCTATGCCCATATGAGATGTCAAAGCGATCGGACATTTCTAAACAAAGTTATCGTTCACACGGACAGATAGAGGGACAGACAGACAAAGGAACAGACGGACAGACAAACAGACAGACGACATACAGGAATACAAAATTATAAACGATCTCTAGGATCGTTAATAAACGGCAAAAGTGTAAAATTATGGAACATGTAAAATATTGTTTGTTGGTTTTTTTACAATAACTTTTTTAGCAATAAACGCAGAAAAAATTCCTTCCTTGGTGCAAGCCTCGACACCATAACGAGCCAAATAGCGAAAAAAGTAGAACAATAGCTCTTAAGATAAAGAACTAGTATCGTCTCAACGAACGAACGGACGGACGGACGGACAATGTGGTCACAATAGCTTTTTTTAAATTTTTGTGGAAATGCGCTAAAAAAGATAGTTGTAGAATGTCACTTATTCTATGGCCGAGTATCATGCTTGCATTCAGTATTTCTAAATTAAATTATACAGTGCGTTTGAGATAAGAGGGTCACCTCTATATCTCTTTTATTTGGCGAGAGAAAAATTTGTGAAATGTAATTGTATGTTTTATTACCATTTATCCGATCGCATATTGAAATTGGAGTTGGACTTCCGGTTTAACCGGAATTCGATGCAACTTTGGCCGATACCTTTCAACATGCGATCGGATAGATCGTAATGTAACATATACAATTATATTTGACAAATGTTTCGGATCTTGCCAAATAAAAGAGATATTGCAGGTAACTTTCTTATCTTTAACGCACTGTATATTTTACTGCGAAATTCGGCAATTTGCAAATTCCCTACGTAGGTATTTTCCAATTGACCAATGCAACAAAGTGACCAATTGACAATGGATCTCGAGTTGCATTCAGGCAAAGTGCGAAGGCTCCGTCACTTTCCACAGATTGCGCGTACAGCGTTGCCATTGGATTGTAAACGACGATTGCGATTTTATCAAAATCTCCTTAATCCAATACTAGAAAATGCCACTGCAACTGCGCTGGTTCTTACTTTATTGAGGGAATGCTACAACTAGCGCAACAACCTCAATGCGCCAGGCCGCGGCCCGGACATCGTTCGCTTAAGTTATATGAGCTAGTATTTTTGTAAACGCCATTTGGGCTCTTTTTAACGAAAATAAACTGATGGATTCCAAATGTGAAGCTGAAGAATATATCAGATGGGAGTAGATATTAATACGACAGATTTACATTTGGCACCGCTGTACGCGCAATTTGTGAAAAATGGAGGATTCTCACTATTCCTGAATTTTGGCGTGGTAGGCTTTGAATAGTTCTTGAATACCCTAAAAAGTCTCGTCTGTGCAAAAAAACTGAAGCGAGCTTTTGAAGAGGAGAACCTAAATTGTTTTAAAGAATCCCAAAAGACTCAATGTATATTTAAAACCTTTCAAAAGTGTTTGAGAAATTCTTAAAGACTCGGCTCTTAATAAACTTATGAGGACGTATGGACTATACTCCAGTACTACAAAAACCACGGGTGATATTCTTGGTCATTTTGTATGATTTATTAATTTTCAAAGAGGCCTCTGCGGTCATTCTTGTTGATTTTGTTCTATATCCAATTGATCGTGGTACTGGACCATGTAAGAAGTGATTCCAGCTTAGGCTATACAGTACAATGATCTAAAGATTCCAGTGAAGTTATTATAATCAAGGACGAAACAATCTGCGGCGTGGTCAGTTCTTCTCAAAAACATCACAAAAATCATACAACTAAAATTATGCGATGCAACAAGGTATATATTGAGCAGTGACGCACGCGTTTTGTCGTTTTTTCAATGAAAATTGGCGAATTTAGCATTTTATAGCCAAGATTCTTCTGGGCTCTGGTGTTGGATTTTTACGCGGGGCGAATAACTGTTAAAAATACTGTACACCGATTTAAAATCATTTAAATTTAAGGTGATTTAAAATGATTGTAAGGGATTAACAAGATTTATATGGATTTTTAAAGATTTATTGGAAATTTAAAATGATTTGTGAGATTTTAAAGGTTTGTTTTTGATTTAAAATGATTTATTGGGATTTAAAATAATATATTTAGATTTAAAAAGGGATTTTTTGGGGTAGCTATTTGTGTGCAAAACTGTAAATGATCCTTAATAATGACCTTAATATGTATAAAATTGAAGAATATTCTAAAATTTGGTATTGATATACAGGTTCTTTATATATAAAAAAATGAACATTCTTGATTTTCGAATTCCTAAATCAACCCAATAACCCCGAGGAACCTTGATATTATGTTATATCGGTTTGTTAGTTACCTGATTTGTCAAAGTTTGTATTTACCTCTGGATCCATAGTTATTTGAGACCACGCCCCATGTCTTAGTAAATAAACGAGATATTTAAACAAAATCAAAATCCGTTTCGGTAATTCGGGGGAGGAATCACAATGACATAGTTGGCCACGCACCCCCTCCAACCACCTGCGCCCCAGCCACCCCAACTCTTAAATCTTAAATAGTGACGTTGGAAAGCTATGAAAAAATGCCATTTTGAACATTTATTGAAATAAACTTTAGAAAATGTATCATATTAGTTTATTTTTTGATTTGCACGATAATTACTAACCTAAATGTAATGCTATTTGGTATGGTTGGAAAGCATTTTTTCAGAGCTTTCCAACGACGTATCATGATTTATAAATCACTTAAAGAAATTTGTATACGGATTTATGGAAGTTGACCGCCCCTCGGATTTTTAAGTTTACATTATTGAATTGTGAACAATTTTAGAAGATTATAAGTTATACAGGGTGGTGACTTGCGTAACGCATCATAGGGATTTCAATGTAAAATTCATAACATGCGATTATTGGCTCCTCAAATTATTTTAGAGTAAAAATGTATTAAGGTTTTTTGTAGGAAAAAATTTTTTACGTCAATCAACCCTATTAGATTTCAATTTTTTGCATAATAAAGACGGAAAATTGGAAAATAAAACCCCCATCTTTCCAGATATCCAGTTATCAATTAGCAGCAGTTCGAAATGGCTTTTATGATCGACTTGGTTACTGTATTGCAGTTAATGGTGACTTATTCGAACATTTATTGTAAATTGTTATATTAGGAAACCGTTTTTAGTAATTTGGTCTTTCTTTATGTTGAATTCGCTGTTCTAAATATAATACTTTTTGATAGAATTTGATTTGTTTTAAAGCGGACATTCCATGGCATGACGGATATTGGCGTAGTTTTTGTATTATAAATTCCATGGCATCACAGATTATTGAAAAAGATGGGGGTTTTATTTTCCAATTTTCCGTCTTTATTATGCAAAAAATTGAAAACTAATAGGGTTGATTGACGTAAAAAATTTTTTCCTATAATAAACCTTAATACATTTTTGCTCTAAAATAATTTGGGGAGCCAATAATCGCATGTTATGAATTTTACATTGAAATCCCTATGATGCGTTACGCAAGTCACCACCCTGTATGTACGCTCCCCACTTCTTTCAGTGTTTTACCGGGCAGGTATATACGATATTAATTTAATGGACATCTGCATTTTATCACTTAAACGATTCCATAACTTTTATTTTTAATTATGAAGAACCCATCTACAGTGACAATATTTGTTTCAGAAATCGTCCTCAAAATGAGCAGCCATTTGCAGATTCTACGCCTAGCATAATTGAACAACGATTCTCCCACACTGAAAAGGCTCAAAAAACTACAACGGAGTCTGCGAAAGTGACAACAGTATTATCATCCGAAATGCCTACGTTATCCACAATCAACATCAATATAACTCCATCAACTATTGACACAACACTGTCTACAATACCGCCAGAAACAACAACCCTGGAAATGGAAACGGACACCACAGAAAGCAGTCAGCATGCTTTATTCTTTCTGGAGCATTCTTTGCTCAAAGCGACACACAAACGAAACGACGCGAACGCAACTGAAGCTCCCACTACTACAACAACGGACCTAAATCAACCCCCAACAATTACAACAACATATCGTAACGCCATTCGTTTCCCCACCGAATCTTCGCACTACATCGACTATATTAAAAACCCCGAAACGATCACGCAAGCCAACCTCTTACCGCACGTCAACCGACACGTCAGCAACTTTAACGACGCGACAACCGTACCCTCCAGGGAACAGTTTCAGGCGCTCTTCAACGAGTACATAAGCTCGAGGGGCGACGATCTGAAGGGTACCGAACGTTTCGTCTTCAAAACGCAAGAGGACCGAACGAAGCACGACCGCTTCAATACCGCACATCACGGATACAATCACAGAAATCGCGACAAGCACGCGAATCTCTGGTCGCTGCCGCCTTCCTGGAGCGAATCTAGTCCAAAGAAACCGATCGTTTTAAGGTTGCCGCGCAGATCGCACAGCAGGCATCTCCTAGATCATCATTCGCAGGAGTTCTATCGGGAGTTCCCTCGAGAGGAATTCTCTTACATTTTCGGTATTAATCCCATTCAGGCAAATGAGAGAAGGGGTCGAAGATGATACAAAGATCGGATCGGTTTACATAGACGTAAAAGGTATCGAATCCGCATAAAATGAAGACGGTGTAATTATGTTCATATAATTGATATTTAGGTAATTTATACGACGTGTATTATTATTGCGTAAGTGTTTCGTAGTCTAAGATTCAAGTTCCTTTAATACAAGTTGCATATGTACTTGAGATGGGTCTGCTTATACTATAGATATATTACAACGAACTTTGTATATTTCTACAAATAGCGATTAATGAGGGGGTAGGTTTAAAACCAAAGATGGAAAGCGATCTGTATAATTGTAGTAACCGAAAGAAATCAGCTGGATGTAAGACCACATAACGTAACGAATATTTTTAGCACAGTAATGTAGATAATTACAGGCACCTACATGTTATTATATACGTATATGTCGTTCATACAGGACCTAATTTTGTAAATTCAAGTTGTACAAATGTAAATAAACTGTGCCGTGTTACCGGCAATGTAACCATATATTTATAAATTATACTTATTCGTATTTATTGTATATTAAGATTGTGCCAGTAGATTAGCAAAGGGTAATATACGTAAAATGATAATTATTACACCCTACCTCAAGATGTGTTTTTGTATTGCTGTAGTCATTCCTGTACCAAAATAGCAGAAATTATTACTTTTAACAGTTCGTCTACTCTGTATTCAGATTCTTCGAGCAAAGCAGATCGATATTTCAGATGGTGACAGCTTGCTTGTCATTGTACCATGGGCCGGTAATAAGAAAAATGTGGTCTTTACCTATACTCGATAATTATTTTCCGTACCATTTACAGGAAAAAATTTTAAGATACTTATCCAATTCCATTAGTGACTGTGACTCTTGACAAGTTTTGAAGCATAAGATGGCCGATCCGATAAAAATATTATTCCTAGGATAGTTCTGGACTTCTGGTTGATCTTTATGATAAATTGAAATCGCCTTTGTGATGTAACCGCGCTAGCACAAATCGGGAACACACAAACTCGCCACACTAGCGTAATAATACAAACCTCGCACTAAACAAAGGCACTCTCTGAAGATAAAACCCAAGTTAACGCTACTACATCTATAATGATCCCCCCAAATCTAATTCAAGACAATGTTCCATTCATATAAGTAACTATATCATTGCTAAAAATGTGGCAGAACAATGTTTATGACAATTACCGATTACGACCCCAAACATTACCATGAAGGAATAATCAAATTTCTTGGGAGCATTTATACTTTCAAAAATTGGTGTCCATTTTGTTGTTTTGCATATTTAACGCAACTCAATAACGTAATTACAATAAACAATTTGTAACGGTTTATTTTCCCCATTACAAAGCTTCTTATTGTTCACGGTATATTTACTTGTTAAAAGAATTTTTTGAATTTTACCGCGCAGATTATCAGCGGCGTGATTTTTGGTTGTCGATTGTCGACCTTCATCATCCTTCTTTTCTGTCGAGAACCGTTTCAAGTTACACTTCATTAAAACCAACAGCCAAGGCGTTAGTTGTGAACGCATGTAATTTTTAATTGCCATCATCCATATTTTATTAATTTCAATTGGATTCTGGAATAATTAGTGAACGGATTCACCTTTAACGCAGTGAGGATATAATTGCGTTTTTTCTTCCTTATTGTAAATGCCACCATTTGCATTTCATTTACTTGAAGTGTACCTATCTTTAGGTTCGGCTGTCAGCTGATATACTCCCTCTTTTATGACATCAACGAAGAGGGTTACCTTTGATTTCTTTTAGGGTTCAAGTTCCGGTTCTTTCTCTTTTTCACTCTCCCCCCCCTTTCCGCTCTTGATACGATACGTATTACGTTAAAGCATTTTTAAGCTCCTTTCCTGATCGTTGTAGGTTTCCAGAACTGACCAGGCTCTGATAAGATCTTTAAAACTCTAAAAATAGCCAAAATAGCTTGTGGACAATATTTATTTCATATTCACAAATTTATCGCTTACATTAAAATAGTCTCAGACATTAATAAATAGCAACCTCTGTTATAAAACAAACGTGCGAAAGTTAAAAAAAACCATCAACTTGGTTTAATGCCTTTAAAATGTTTGCCTAATAAAAATATTTCTGCGGAATCCGATCGACTCGAAATTGGCTTAATAATTTTAACCTTATCATAAAATCGTTCCATATCTTTTTGTAACTTGCTCGTAAATCCACTCTGCCACATTTTCATTAACAGAGAAGCATCAATTTTGCTTACAAGAACGGCGAAACGTAGCACTGTGTAACACAAAGTTAAAATGTTCTCGTCGTCCATTTCTTTAACACCCGTCGCAGACGGAGCCATATCTGATATAACGGCGTCGGCTTGCTTGCCGTGCAGGGCATTTTGCACCTTATCTTGAGTAGCTTTACTTAGTAGGTCGCAATTTCCGAACACTACGGCACCCTACCGTCGGAGTAAAATGATCACAATTTCAAATTACGCACACATACCGGTATGGGATGAATTTGCTGTTTGTCTACGGCGATTACGACCCCGATGGGTTTATGAGGTGTTGATAAGTCCGCGTTTACACGCTGTACAGCTACCTGCGTCCAGGATCCTGGAGCGGCCCCACAATCGACAACAACATGTCCCGGAGTCAGTATATGTTGCGAGTCATCGATTTCTAAAAGTTTAAACGCGCTCCGGCATCTATAAGAAAACAACGTCTTCACGGAAGCCACGATTTGCTATTTACCGATAGTTGAGAATTTTTGCTTTCTCAACGTAGGGATCTTTCAGTTGCCTCGTCACCCATTTCGTTGAGCTAGATCCCTTTCCCTTCAAGTTACTTGGGACAACATGCTTGCACCTTTGAGTCGTTGTGTGCAAATAACGTTTTAATAATGTGTGACAACTGGCCTTATTCATATTATTTTAGTTTCTTTTAACGGTCTTCATTGTTATTTTAAAATAAATAAAAAACAATGAATATATCGATTAAATTATAAACAAAAAAGAGAGGTTATGTTTCAAGAAAAATCATTTGACATATGATGTACAGGATGAAGGTGAAATATATTAACAAATTCTGTCAACGTAGTCAAGAGTTCGTAACGACGCGATAGTTAAAAAAAGGTTTTTTATGCAGATGATTTAGCGGTTTCCTTTAATGATTTAAAAGAAGCAAAAACATTTCAAGAAGAAGTTCAGCCAATAATGGAACAAGGGAAATTTGAAGTTCGTGGATTACAGGCAATAAACGACGATGTGACTGCGATGTGAAAGTTGTGAAAAGTAAAGTATTTGACAACGTCAATGAGTTTTAAAAACTGTCACTTTAAATGTCAAAATTAGAAAAATAGAAGTATCTAATAGCGTTTTCGATTTACTCGTGCTGAACGAGTATTGCACGAGAAACTGAAGTAATGCATGTGAAAATTGCTCTCAATGGAACATAAATATTTGTTATCATTTGTCCATAACCTCATTTTAGATTTGTATTTATACAATGATTTAGGTAATCGACAAATCTGTATTCTAAAAAATGACTGAAACGATTTCACTATTATTTATGATAAACAATGAGGAATATAAATTTGAAATTCCTGTAAAGAACCAATTTTTGGCGTTCAGTTTAAATAGAAAATGCAACTTTTTGTAAAGTAGAAGTTATATGGCTAGTTCTTCATCTTCGCTATCGCTAGATCATCATCTTCGCTATCGCTAGATGACAACAAAAAACTCTCCAACGCAAGAAACAAATTCAAATTGTCGCACTTTTATAGCGTTTTCGATTGGCAAAACTCGTGCTGCACGAGTGCAATTTTTACGTTCTATTGGTAATTTTAGGGCAATTTTCTGTGTTCCATTGGCAAATGTGATCCAACAATTACGCACTAAATGCAAATTTTGACGCACGAGGTCGGAGAGCTCGTGGAGCAAATTTTCAAAATAAAAGTGCGCCAATTTGAATTTGTTTCTTGCGTTGGAGAGTTTTTTGTTGTCATCTAGCGATAGCGAAGATGATGAACTAGCCATATAACTTCTACTTTACAAAAAGTTGCATTTGCTCTTTAAAGTGAACGCCAAAAATTGGTTCTTTACAGGAATTTCAAATTTATATTCCTCATTGTTTATCATAAATAATAGTGAAATCGTTTCAGTCATTTTTTTAGAATACAGATTTGTCGATTACCTAAATCATTGTATAAATACAAATCTAAAATGAGGTTATGGACAAATGACAGCAAATATTTACGAATATTTATGTTCCATTGAGAGCAATTTTTACATGGATTTCTTCAGTTTCTCGTGCAACACTCGTGCAGTACGAGTTTTGCCAATCGAAAACGCTATTATTTTGAAAATTTGCTCCACGAGCTCTCCGAACTCGTGCGTCAAAATTTGCACTGAGTGCGTAATTGTTGCATCACATTTGCCAATGGAACACAGAAAATTGCCCTAAAATTACCAATAGAACGTAAAAATTGCACTCGTGCAGCACGAATTTTGCCAATCGAAAACGCTATAAATTAATGTAACTATACCCATTGAATTTTATAGCGTTTTCGATTGGCAAAACTCGTACTGCACGAGTGTTGCACGAGAAACTGAAGAAATCCATGTGAAAATTGCTCTCAATGGAACATAAATATTCGTAAATATTTGCTGTCATTTGTCCATAACCTCATTTTAGATTTGTATTTATACAATGATTTAGGTAATCGACAAATCTGTATTCTAAAAAATGACTGAAACGATTTCACTATTATTTATGATAAACAATGAGGAATATAAATTTGAAATTCCTGTAAAGAACCAATTTTTGGCGTTCACTTTAAAGAGTAAATGCAACTTTTTGTAAAGTAGAAGTTATATGGCTAGTTCATCATCTTCGCTATCGCTAGATGACAACAAAAAACTCTCCAACGCAAGAAACAAATTCAAATTGGCGCACTTTTATTTTGAAAATTTGCTCCACGAGCTCTCCGACCTCGTGCGTCAAAATTTGCATTTAGTGCGTAATTGTTGCATCACATTTGCCAATGGAACACAGAAAATTGCCCTAAAATTACCAATAGAACGTAAAAATTGCACTCGTGCAGCACGAGTTTTGCCAATCGAAAACGCTATTAATCATATACAATGCTATACCTAAAAACTATAGAAACCCATGTAGGTGTCAATCATTGATTATACACACGTATAATCAATGGTGTCAATATATCAAATAAAATATTGTCATAAATGAAATTCTACAAAGTGATTGTCATAGAATAAGACCTTGTGATTGTTAACAAATGATATTGGCAGATAAGGGGACATTTTGGGGACACTCTCTGGCAGTGAACAGAACTTTAAATTAGGGGACTGTCCCCGGAAACCGGGAACGAATGGTCACAGCACAACTACAGAACCGCAATAAACCACGCACGTACCAAGTGTTTCTATTTAATGATATGCAGTGCACTCGTGTCTCTTTGAACATAGGGTCCTATTCTTGACCCTACGTATTTATCAAGGTTGTTCGTTTTTTGAACCAAAACGATGAACTTTGGTCGAATGGTATTCTTGACCGTTCGAAAATATTTCGAATTCGTAATTGTCACTCGTTTTTACAACGAGCGGTATAAACCAGTCGAATTTATGACATGTGCCATTTTTTTTACTTTGACGTAACTTGTTCACCGTATTCAGAATGTGTTTAAAAATCTATTTGAGGAACTGAGTGATGACATGTTTCATTTAACGAAACAACACATCGAGAGATTTGTCTTAAGACATGCACATTGCACGTGCGTTAACGAATTACGCCTGCAACAAAGTCCATCTGTAGCTGAACCTCTCACATGCACGTCTTAAGACAAGTCTCTCGGTCTGTCTGGCCTTACAGCTACATACACATAGTCATTCTTGTGAAGGTTTTGGCAAGGGTTTTGGTTGCTGTACGATTTTTTGGAATCGGCAGTTACCAAATTAGATGTTACAAGTTCCACGTTATTTAGCTGTTTCCCAACCATTGAACTCTAAAAACACACTCGAGTTCACTGTTTTCAACCCACTGTTAAGGGCCCCACAGACTTCCGACTTGTTCGTCTGATTTGCACGACCTGTAAATCGAACAAACACGAGGTGTGTGGAGTCTGTCATACTTGTTCGATATAGGTGCCATACCATCCGATGTACACGTCGTGCAAATCGGACGAAGAAGTCGGAAGTCTGTGGGGCCCATAAGCACTTTTTGTAATTTGCTCAGTTATGAGAAAGCAGTTGTGTATACAAACTGTTGTCAAGGAAACCTTTCGTATGAAGGTATTTACTACTATCCAATTCTACGTTGCCAAACATATCATTCGAATTGAAATTACAAGCGTTACGAAGGGTACACATGAATAGCAAATGATAGTCGTATGCGAATTTGCATACATCGTTTTAAAACGAATACGAACCAATTCGAGTGAGTTCAAGAATAGCGCCCCAGCTTCTGTCTAATTGAAAAGCAATGATCATTTGTGTGAAGAACGAGAGTTTTATGATAAAAACTACAGTGTATGAGAATTGTTGTATTTTCACGAATTGAACCTTAAGCTGGATGCACATGAATACGAAATCCGACGATACGGTCATCCGAAATGCTTATGATTGGTCAATAGTTTGAAATGTCAAGCACATTTCAAATTATTGACCAATCATAAGCATTTCGGATGATCGTATCGTCGGATTTCGTATTTATGTGTGAATCCAGCTTTAGACTACACAGAGTTGTATAGTAAAATAAAACTCTGTGAACGATAGGCTTTATTCTGTGTCACTGTTTTCATTTCAAATTTTGACAGAATTGAGTAAATTGTTATCGTTGCGTAGCGGTATGAATTCAAAATTGCCAGTTACGATCCTTCAAGAATTAAGTGTAGCCCAAAGATGGGCACCACCCGAATATACGCTACTTGACGAGAAAAAGGGAACCTCTAATACTAACGAGTTTCATTACCAGGTTAATGCGAATGGGCAACAGGCCGTCGGCGTTGGAAGATCGAAAAAAGAAGCGAAACACAATGCCGCTAGTGCGCTATTGGATAAATTACCCAAAAGAGCAAGGGATGATCCAGTCCAATCCGATGTGGCTCCAAAGAAAGTTAAAATACACAATTATACCTCCGACTTGTTGAACACTTGTCTCAAAAAGAAATTGCCCCCTCCCACATTTACACAGGTAGCAGAAACTGGTCCTGCACACTGCAAGGAGTTTATTTGTGAATGCAAAGTCACTTCTATAACCACATCGGGCACGGGACATTCTAAAAAGGAAGCGCAGCACTTTTCTGCAAAGGAAATGATGGACAGGTAATTTGTACTACAAAACTGAACTTTTGAATAGACTTTTCATTTACAGAATAACAAACACACTATCTGAGTCTTCTACTGCAGCGTTATCAAAACCTGAACCTGACTCGTCTGCCAAGTCTCCAGATGGAGTTAAAGATGAGGTCGATACGAAACTCGAAGCATCCTCGCCTGTGATAGAAAATGAAACGGAAGCCAAGGTAAAAGTAAAAGCACCAGATTCGTCATTAAGTACTGCAGCTGAAGAAGCTCCTCAATCGGAAAACGCTGTTAGTGCAATCGAAAAGGGTGAGGATTCTTAAACCGAGTGCCTTTTTATTTGGTAAACTTTTTTTATTATCGTTTTTATGTAGTGTGTTCAGACCTATGCAAGGACCTCGACAAGGGAGAATCTTGAGTGTTAATTATATCGTCGCATCCACAAATGAAGAGTAACATTCATTTAACTGGTACCGCGTCTGTATGTGTTTTTTTTTTGTACCTATGAATAAACGTTTTAAATTGTATTATTTTTGAAAGTTAAGTTTAGGGAAGATCAAAGAATTGTGCAACTGTTTGGCAAATGTATGTAATGGTAAAATGTTTAATATAATATAGGAATATGTACGCACGAGGAATTACATGTTTTCATCATTTAAATACGAGATCGCCAACCGTTCAAGATCGTCTAAACTAAGCGATTTCACTTTATCATGAAAATCTTTCATAAACTTTTCCACTATTAGCTTCGTCTGCTTTTCTGAATAGTATTTATGTAAAAATCGTGCGAGCACTTCATCTAGGGATTCCGGTTTCTTCATGACGAGGTGCACTTTCGTACCATCTTTGATCTTCGGGTAGGAACCGATAGTTTGATCGTCTGCTAAGGTTCTACCAAGTAGGACAAGCGTCTGCTGCGATAGGGGCACTTTTAAATGGTTTTCGATTTGTTTTTTCACGTCCAAAATTTTCATACTCTCGGTGACTTCAATCATGCATCCATCGCCTTGCAGTACTTTTATGAATATTTTCATATTTGCGAATTGGCACGGTACGTGAAAGCACCTTTGGTAAAAAGAATGCCAATCTTTAGTAAACAAAAAGTTTGGTTATGTTACTTTTGCTTGTCAAATCGTTTTCACTCATTCAGCGTTGCCAATTGTGGTGATTAAATCACTAAATGGATACCACACAGGGTGTGGACAGATTATGGTGCATTCAAGAATTTACAGCTGTGAAATTTAGATCTGCAAATGTGGTTAAAGCACTTTCAAAAGTGTGTTGATGGAATGGAGGCGTTCGTTTTCTTGGTTTTCTCTGTAATTTAAATCGATAATACTGTTCCGTGAAAAAGAAATCATGAGTTCTGTCGCTTGGCGGTGTGCGTCTGGTTTGCCCTTTTTAGTCAACAGACTTCAGACATACAAGGTGTCTTAAATAAAAGTTGCACTCTTCATTAATCAGTTTGCTAACGATTAAACAGAAAAATAAGTATGTATCAATAATTTTCCCGTTAGAAGCAGTGGTCACACTTTAAAAAAATTAATTGGCACATTATGTTGTGATTGTGTGATAGGTACGTCATTAAATTTGAAAGGTTATTTAATTCTCTAATCAGATCTAACTTAGAAATAGTCTCATATAAAAATATGCTCTTTCATTAATGTACCTACTGCGAATTTTGACTTTAATTCTGAGAACTATTACTAATTTGTTTGACAAACAGTTGTAATATATACGTTGTATGAAAACGACCTTTGTAATAAATAAATAAATGAAATGGCGAGGGGGAGAAATGTTACCATAAAATCTTGTATAATGTTGTGCACATTAGTTTTAAATATAATGGTATTGCTATTGTATAAATATATAGAGCTTTTGTGAAAAATAGGTGCAGTTCTGTACGGTCATGCATAGAAAACCAATCGGTATCTTTAACATGTGGTTAATGTGTTCGTATTATATACGTATGACATAAATAAAACCTTTGTTTAACGCAGAAAAAGACTCCCTGTATTCTAGTAGAGGTAAGTTTATCTATGGCTGGGTGAAAAGATCATAAACAGTTTTAAAATTTTAAATTTCTGATACGTTATTAAAATATTTCAACCTCATCATATGTTCTGAAATAAAAACTTTCAATATTACTTTAAAGGATGATGCCTATTTTAAATCCGAGCGCCTGAAGGGAGCGACGTTTTAATGGGCAAAGTCCTATGAACTATATATACCTACACCAAAACAAGATTTTCTCTATACTAAAAAGCTCATTTTATCCGATTTCATCTTGTATGAATATTTTATCATGAGAACAAAGGGTTTCTCAAGCGCGGATCTCATATAACGGTTTGTGACCATATGCGAACTTTCCGCCGCTAGGGGCAGTTCGATCTTTTGAGAGTCCGTGGGCGATCGAAAGTGGAGCGTTACATTGACATTAGATGGCAGCATTACAAACCATTTATTTTGACCATTCGAATATTTTCCTTTTTAATCGTTAGATGTCAGGAACTCGGGATGTTTTTTTTGTGTTATCATTGGAATGGTTTTATAACTAATAAATAGATCCCTTAAGAAGCGTTGCGTAAATTTGTAATGTATATTATAATAATTATTTAGACGAACGAAGCTTGCAGTCCTTGTCCTTGAAGGAATGCAATTTCATACATTCTATTCACAGGCAGTACAATAGGCAGGTTCGACATTTTTTATTTTTACTGAAAGCGGGAGATTTTGTTATTAAAAAACGATAATGTTGAGGGTAAAATATTTGCACATTTGCCGCCGCGTTGGCAGAATATACGAATTCACGTGAACTGGAACCGATGTGTTAATTTTATTGGTAGTGTGAACAATGCTGCCAGGGTATAAAAAAGTTGACGAATGTTAATGTGGAAATGGAGTTTTCGGTAATGCAAATTTAAATGAACCTCAGAACAGTCCCTTAAGTGGAATTATACAACTCTTAGGTACCTATACATCATTTCCACATTCACATTTGGTAACTAAATTTCGCGAATCAGCTTTTTTTATAACCTTGCAGCATTGTGCACAAATAAATACAATAAATAAATCGGTCCCAGTTTACGTGAATTCGTATACCTACTATGAGCTGGGCGATATAAGTCTGTTCAGTGTCCGATAATTGTCGATTAATCGATAACTTAAAAAAATTATCGATAACTTTCGATAATAATCGACAATTATCGATAATAATCGATAAATCGTAACGATAATTTTCGATAATAATCGATAATTATCGATAACGTTTGATAATTATCGATAATTATCGATAACGTTTGATAATTATCGATAACTTTTTATAATTATCGATAACTTTTGAAAATAATCAGTAATGATTATAACAATCGAATATTATTGCCACTTGTCGAAAATTGCCTATATCTGATATTTATTGATTAATAGATAAGTAGCGGAAATTATCAAGAGAAAACTATGGATACTTTTGCATAAATCTTATCGATATATATTTTCAATCGATATAATTACATCATCCATGCGTACATTCGCTAACATTTTTGCTTTTTTGATATTGGTATTGCGAGAGATAATTTAAATAAAACAGGATCTTTTGATGCTGAAGTTTTCTGAAATCAAAGGTGATCAAGTGGAAGCTAATCCTCAAAAATTAGTACAGAATTAGGTTGTGAATTGCGATCATGGCAACTCCACAATTTTTTGATTTCCTGTTCAAATGTAATTTATTCAATCACGATTCATGAAAGGAAGAATGTTCATCTTGCGTCAGTCAACATCCTGTGTGCCACATAAATGCCTTATAAATACGTTTCTTGAACATTTAGAATTCTGTATGCAACAATAATACAAATCGAGATAGTGGGTTCATTACAGATTCCTGTATAATAATTAACAAAGGTAAAAAACTGACATTATATTCATCTTTCTCGATGGTAGAGACATCTACGTCTTGTAATTTAAACTATTGAAAACAGTCACATATCCTCTCCCATTTAACCCGCGCTTCTGATAGTTATAAATTCAATGATAGAATCAAGAAAACAATAAAGCGGTGTAGTACCTACTCCAGGATTAAACTTGAACGAAAATCCCGGAACGATTAAATTATAAACAAATTGATTTAATACACATTTTATTGAAGATAATTAATAAGAATGATAATTGACGTATTATTTATTTACATTAATGTTGTTACAGTTCGTCATATTAACCAGTCTCCTGGGTTAATGCAGCCAATACTTCACCTTTTCACATGAGACTACCACTTCTGTAAACGCATCGTACACTGCTGCTCATATAGTTTTCTGGACTTCGACGGTAACAATTCTTCACCTACTTCGGCTGCTCGTTTATCAAATATCAAATACACCTTAGGCACTCATGAACATCAAGCTCATGAGACTAGCAAATTATTTTTGGTACGGTAGCGTCGGGTTTGTCGTACCAACACAACGTTCCTATGGTACCTACTTCAAAAGAACGCGTTCGCTAACGCCATATAAGAGGTCCGTGCGTACATATTATGGATACGTTTCAGTTTCGTAAGTACGAAAAGTATCGTATATACCTTGCGACTGAAGTAGTAGTCTTAATCTCTCAGGTAAATTATGGCCCGACCGCAGGGAATAAAAGTACTATTTCGCGCGGTATATAGGTAATATACTAATATTAAGAGAAAGTATATAATTAAGTTTTTAAAGCAGTCAGTTGTCAGTTAAATTAATCAAAAAAGTCCTAACCTCACAAGTGTATTATTAGCTCTACAATTGTCTCACCCAGTTGCAATAGTGTGTCAGTGGGCAGGGGAATACAAAACGAACGGTTGTGGAGCGTCACGCTTTGGACCAAAGGAACACAGAATTAATTCCGTAAAGCAGTTAGGTAGGGCTTTGGTAGTACTCTAATTGAACATTCGAAAGCGCATATTGTTTACAAACCGCTCCCACCAATACACGCCATTTGTAAATTACATTAGCGCCTCTAGTGTTAATAATCGCGAATAATAATATACATTATAATTCATTTGATCAGTGAAATTGATTAATATTTAATAAATAACAGGAAATGAAGGTATCATTAAAAATGTATTTGAAAATGTTAGAGAACAATTGCTAATTTTACGCACTAATTACGTGTAATTCAGAGAAAAAGATCTTATAGTAAGGCCGGTATTACACTATAAAAGATTGACAAATATTTTATCAAATGTAATCGTCTGTTATTACTTCCTATAAATATATTTTATAAAAGAATTAATATTACCTGTCAAATATTTTATAAAATATATTTTATAAAAGATTTTTATAGTCTAAAATGCAGTAAAAGAAACGGGTATTTGTGCATCTTACAAATCACTTTTTCATAAACTCATTTACATAATTGGTCCTTCATCGTTATACGTGATCAATTGTATTTAAAAATAGGTATAAAATATGCAAAAGTTGAAAAATTGGTATTGAATCATGTACTTAATTAATAATGTGCATTGTTGGTCGTCTAACCACTTGCAATAATATCAAAATCGAAATTTACTACAATAGCAACTACGCCACTGAAAAAGGCACTTTTTTAAATTCTTGTCTGAAGATTTCTACGTTACTCGTAGGAAGATTTAAATTTTACCTGTTGCCAGGTAGTGACTAACTCACAACCCAAGTAAGCTCAAAGTACGTCTGTACTTACTGTATTGATTGTACTTAAATTATCACAAATAGGTAATTGAGGATATGGTTCAATTCGTTCAAATCAAACCGCATTTGATTACAACGTAGGTAATTGCTGTGCCACTTTTCTACTACATACGCAAGAGAATTGTTCGAAAATCGCTTAATTTATCAAATCTGGTTGTGATTCATCCACCGCCCTTCAGGTACGACACTGGTGGAAAACTTGTTAACCTCAAAGAACTTGTTTACCAATAATTTCATATTCACTTGCACTTGGACTTTACCTCTTAATTAGAAATTGAAATGGGTTTCGTTAATTAAATCTGGAAAGTGAGTACCTGCATAAGTAAATTGATTTTTTTAGTCACTCAATGGCCTACCAAAATCCAAAATCGGCCCTCCAAATGGTGGAGTCGGCTCGAGCTGCCTTTCAGACCGGCGCCACCAAAGACGTCAACTTTCGCATGAAGCAACTGAAACAGCTCCTACGGATGTACGAGGAAAACAACACGCGCATCGTCGAAGCACTCGCGTCCGACTTGAGAAAAAGTAGACAAGAAGTCGAAGTTATCGAAATCGAACTTCTCGTGCACGATTTGAAGAACACAATCGACAGCTTGCACGAATGGGTGAAGCCGGAACGTCCTCCCAGATCCTTCGCAAACTGGTTGGACAAAACGTACCTGTTTAACGAGCCGTACGGTGTTGTCCTAGTAATCGGTGCCTGGAATTATCCCCTACTGCTTACGTTATTGCCGTTGGCGGGTGCGATTGCGGCCGGTAATTGCGTGATTATCAAACCATCAGAGGTGACACCTGCAAGTGCGAAGTTTATGCAGGAGGTATGTACATCCTGTTCTATTTCTATTTGCAAATCATACTGTGTGTTCCGAATAAAGCTGGCACTATTCCTAACTTGTCCATTAATACAAAGTAGTGAACCAATGAGCATCGAGTTGTGGAAGTACCTATCTATTCGAAAAAAAATGCACAAGTGGTACACCTTGAATATTTTGAAAGAAAATGCAGTAAGAGCTGCAATGTGAAACGGAGTATCCCCATTTCCGTCTTTTGCACTGGTAGTAAGAAGCATTTCGATCAGAAGCGGTGACACATTTTGGGGTGCTAGGTGACGTCAGGTGTCTTTTGTATTGATGCACTCAAACCACCTTTGATAAATAAAAAATTCCCATTAAATCACAGCAAATGAAAAGCAAATTTGCATTGACCTTCACATCTTGCACCTTAAGGATCTAGTGCAATCCGAGCAAGCTACCAACACATCGCGGAAGCATGATTCGATACTTACTGGAAACAATAATCCTTAGTTTAACAGGTTACTCACAGGGAGTCTAATTTTTTAATTTAAGTCCATTAGATTTATTTGATCATGAGGAAGTTCCACATTATGATGGTAATTTAATTATATTTACATTCTTTGCGAATAATGCTTGTGAAAATCCCATAATTGTTTAATTTAAAGTGTCTATTGGTGTTTTAGAAAATATTACAAATTCAAAAAGCTGTACTTTCTGAATGTAAACACAGCAGAATAATTTACAAATTACGGCTGTTATTTTATTCATTTGTTTAATTTTCCAAGGACTTCTTTTCCAAAAAATCTTTCGCGCCATTGACAAATCGGAAATACGTCAAAAGTAAATTTAAGATATAATTTAAGCATTTTTATTAATTAATTAATCTCATTTTCCCAATATTTGAGGTTAGGAACGACATTTTGAAAAACTGTTTTCACTGGCCTCTTTAAATGTTATTTGGCTACTTTTTCATAAAGAAAAAATCATGTCATTCCATTTGATTTTTTTTGGATTTTGAATCATAGTGTCAAAACTAGCCCCCTGACGGAGAAGGATTCAACTAAACTAACTGTATTTATATATTATATGGTTGATTCTTATTGCTCAAGGAATGCTCTTTTCAACGATACCAAATTTGTTACAATCGGTGAAACGGTTAAGAAGTTAAAGCAGGTTATTGCAAAAACAATTGAACTCACCACACCATCTTTGTTTTTGAAATAACTGGGTTTTTGTTTTTACGAAAACGATAGATAAACTGGTTCTCTTTAAAAATGTGAAAAAAGAATGTTTAGTTTATTATGCGAAATTTAAAGAAAATTTAAGATGGCAGTTACGCCCTCTGGTGGTCATTTTTGGAACTTGAAAATATTTTCCAGTGATTCTTCATAACCGATTTACCCAATAATTTTTTTTACCCCTGTCATACGACGAACGGTCCCGAAATATGGCCGAGGAACAGTCTTATTAGATCACCCGGTACATGAGGCGGTCCCAGCTTTTTGCTTAACGTATTAAATCTCATTTTTGTGTGTAATTTTTAGTCCGTACATAACTTTATGGTTCCCAGTTGTGGTTACGTTTTCTCATTTTTTTCGCGCATTCCCAAAGAGATTGGGTTATTATGTTTATTTTGTATTCGCATCAATCCACAATTTTAAAAACAACGTATCACCATTTTCTTTCGTAGATATTTTTTTTGTTTTTGAAATATTTTGAAAAAATTGGAATTTTGGATTTTTTTGCTGGCGATATTTCGCCTTGAGCAAAACCAGTGACACTTCTCCAGACCAACTTTTAATGCTCTTTAAGGTAGAGTTATTGATCCGACGTTTCGTATTTGCTGAACCATCATCAACTTCAATTTTTTTAATACGGCCCTGATATTTTCATATATATTCTGAATTCAATTATGTAATTATAGCACCTTAGGGTTTAATTGTGGTTTAGCCTTTTTTCCTATTACGTACCTGTACAAGGTGGTTTAAATGGGTGGCTCACCATTGGGATCTCCGTTTCCATTTGAAATTGTTCAAAAATCTGAAAATATCAAATTTCGTTTTTATTTTGTCTAACTTAAACGGTCGGAAATGGACGATTCCCGTTGGCACCTACGGGCACTTTTTCGGAGAATCTCAATCTGTTAATAGAATTTCCATAGCTAGATGTAGAAGCTACTGGCTACTACTTTCTTATTTCTTATGGACGCCATATTGGATTTTTACGGAATGAAATAGAAGACAAAAAACATTATGCTATGGCCCCACGTTGGGCGCCAAATAAATAATGCTGTGTGCAATGTTATGCAGTTACGATACCACCAAACAGACAGACAGTTTAGTTTCCTTTTTCTTTTAAAAAACTTTCTCTCAGGGCACAACTGGGTTCCGACACAACAAAAAACCTACCTTTGACTTAAGGTTCTTATAAAGTTGAAAGACTTGAATTCCGCAAATTCCAATGAAATCGCTACTCAAATTTTGAACTGGAAATAATATTCGGATAAACAGAATGATTTCGAATTGAGATTCAAATTTGCACACAATTTTAATTGATAAAGCGAACTTACAGGAATTTATTCTCACACACACCATCAATAGAAAATCAAATACAAAGAATCCTGTAAGAATAATGTAAGGTTAACAGTACCTTTTCAATACAAAACACCTTTAAGAGATCTCAAAAAGTACTCACAATTTTGTTAATAATCTTAATATATAAAGAACGGCTGGATGGATTTTCACGATCTTTGATTTGTTGGATTCGTCTCCGACCCGAATAGCAGAATAACTATTAAAATATCGAAAAAAAAAACACGAAAAAATATAAAGAACATTGTTATACAAACATTTATTTACACAAGTCTTCAAAGGATTTAAAAAGAGAAAAACCATTTCCACTAATAAATTCAACATCGTCGTTCCCCGACAAAACTCGAAATTGCGTACCGTCCCCCGAACCGATAACCATCGCAATTGCTTATCTCGCACGTGGCATTGTTTATCGCAAAACCTATTATTTTTCGTCCGATAATATAGCTTTTTACTAACACATGACCACGTAAAAGTTACAATTGAATGTTCCCTTATTTATGCGTTTTAAATTTATCATACAAACTAAATACAAGAAGTAGGATTAAACGAATTAAATAATTACCGGCTAAATTTATAATAAGAAACTAACATTAAAAATGACAATTAAACAAAGTTTTACCATTCTGTGAAATAACAAAAATTTCCAGGTCTTATGAAATAACAAATTCCGCTATATACAGGATGTCTCGACTACTATTTCCAATATTCCGACCGAAATTACGTTAACAACACGTATTTTCACACTATAAGGTGCCTCGCTCCCAGAATTTGGGTTGTTCCTGTTTAACTTCAAGTATTACGAAACCTTTTAAAGATTATCGCTCAATTTCTCTGATTTTACTTACGCTACTTGTGTCGCTACGAAGAATATACCTTCCAAAACCCGATTAGTGTCAGACGTTAGGCATTGCCATATCGCAATATATTTTTGTGCCGCCCTATTCACTATCCTCTTGTTTCTTGTGTTGTTATCTGTTACAGATATATCAGAAAAGCACCCTTCTGAGCGCAAAACGCCCTTACAACCAGAGTTTAAAGGTAATTTTTGATTTGCGACGACACTCTCGATTGTGATAACGATTATTGGTTATGTTTTACTTCCGTCAATTATTTTATTTCTGTAGCTTATCAAGACCAGAACAAAGATCTCTTAGTCTGCCTTGTTGCCCCTTTCTTTAGGTAAGTATCCTCTTTTCTCTTTTGTAATTTACTTAAGACTAAGTGGCGCCTATCCAGTTTATTATTACTACATTTCCCTTTTGCTAGTGTACTAGACCCCTTTAGTCCCTCGACCCATCTCTACTTTGTCTGCGCTTACCGTGTGCTTATCTCGTGGTAATGTTGTCACCATCTTCCCAATCTCATCACCAGGAAAGAAGTGGCGAGCGACCTTTGAGCTTCACCTCTGCCTACTTTTCAAAGTCACCGCCATATATTACTACATCAATAAAAGTAGGTCAAGGTTATCAGAAAAAGTTTCTAGAGAAATCTTGAAGCAGCATATCATATTTCATGGAAAGAATGAGTCACATTAGATTTCATTCTTTATCGCCAGTGGCTAATCCTTTATCGACTTGATGGCACCTTGATATCGCAATCTACAACGTTCTTAGAAAATATTTACAAGCAAATCTTGGCACGCCTCTTCAGCTACCGGAAATGACTTCTACAGTTGGTCGTGTACTGAAGATATCACATCGTCATTTTGGAAAGTGCTTACTGTTCGCGAGTCGTCAATAGCGGAGGACAAGATGGGTGTTTTATAATCGACTGTTTCCACAAACTTTCATAAACCAAAAAAAATCTGACCAAACATAACGTTTAACCAAAAAGCAAATGATACTAGAGAACTAAAAGCTGTTTTTCTAAAAGTATAGAGGGCGTTTCATTAAAAAGATGGCGAAAATACTTATCATATTTGGTGATTTAACTTGCCTTCGTAGTCCAAATAACAAAGTTAGTAATAGTGCCATTTTTATTTAGAACACGCTGTCTATATGACCTAGCAACTAGCAAGGGAGCCGATTTGGATTATTACATCAGCTGCTTTAGATTGAGATTTCGCATACATGATCCCTATTCACTTCAAATAACCCACTTTATAATTATATTTGTTTATTCACAGGCAATACCGAAATATCTTGACAATGAATGCTACCAGGTGTACACGGGCGGTCCGTCCGAAACCACCGAGTTATTGCAGGAGAAATTCGACTACATCTTCTTTACGGGTTCGACGCATGTTGGCAGGCTGATTCACGCTGCGGCCAACAAGCATCTGACGCCAGTCACCTTGGAACTTGGAGGCAAAAGTCCCGTTTACATTGACAATACTGCCGACATTGACGTCGTCGCGCACCGCGTGGTGTGGGGAAAATGGATCAACGCTGGTCAGACGTGTATCGCGCCCGACTACATCCTCTGCAACAAGGAGGTGGAGGCAAAGTTTCTCAAGGCGGCCGATAACGTTTTGAAAAAATTCTACAAGACAAACCCCAAGGATTCGCCCGATTTGTGTCGTATTGTCAATGATAAGAATTTCCAAAGATTATCGGGTTTCCTGAAGGGCGCCAATATCGCTTTGGGCGGGGAAACGGATGCCAAAGAGAGATTCATTGGATTAACTGTGCTGGTCGACGTGAAGGATAACGACCCGGTCATGGAAGAAGAGATCTTCGGCCCGATCCTCCCAATTGTTAACGTTACTAATGCGTATGATGCGTTAAATTATATTAACAAGCGTGACAAACCCTTGGCCATGTACATTTTTTCCAATAACAAACGGGATGTCCGCCTGTTTTTGGATAACACCTCCAGCGGTGGAGTCTGCGTTAACGATACGGCAATGCACTTCACTGTTTGTGCCTTGCCGTTCGGTGGGGTGGGTGCAAGTGGAATGGGACGCTATCATGGGAAGTATACGTTCGATACATTCAGTCACAAGAAGAGCTGTCTATATAAGAGTTTGGGTGGCGTGGGAGAAAAATTGGCTTCTGGTCGTTATCCGCCCTACTCCCAATCAAAAACAAGTGCGTTACGTATGCTACTCAAGTACCGCAAAGGAATTAGTTTAAGATATTTACCTCATCTTACCATGTTTGTGCTAGGGTTGATTGCCAGTTGTGGTTTTAAGTATTTTGCAAACACTTTATTTCTGAATAAAAATGCTTGAGAGAAATTTGGGTGATAAATTGCCATGAATGGTGAAGGTGAAATATGCATATTTTGCGATGGACTGGTATACGCAGTATTTTTGTTTATTATAATTGCTTTTTTTATAACTATTATTATAATAAAATGTTACTAGATCAATGTTTTTGTTTAATTTAGTGCTTCGATTACTCAATGACTGCAAACAGTCGCGTTCAGTGTACAGTATTAGGTAGGTACGCGTTGGAAGGATGCAATTTTTAAAGTAAAACTTCTATAGGCCAGGTAGGGTATAATGCGCCGCCTTGTGAGTAAATGTACGTACATGTGGACGATTCAATTGGCGTGTTAGTTGTTTACCGTATCTATATAGCAATAATACATAGTAACGTTTACATTTCAAACTAGGGAATTGCGTAGTATTTGTAAAAGTGTATCTCATGTTTCTCTCCGGTCGTAGATAAGAAGTTTTGCAATTCGTTGCGTAGGCTAATTAGTTTTAGGATAAGCATATGTTTTCGCCGAAATAAACAGATGACGATAATATGTAATTCTTTCGAAGGCGCAGAAAATTAAGGGAGGAAGAAAATTGTTGCAAAACAGTGTTCTGCCAGTTATAAAGTTTTGTAGAAGAAAATCTAGTTGACTTAAGCTGAAGTTGTGTTAAGCTACACCCAGAATAGTGTCGTCGAGTTAAGCGGAAGCTTGTTTTACGTTTACGAAGAAGTTTCCCAATACCCGTTAAAGGGAGTTTTGTCCACCATCAAAGGGCCAATACTGTATTTGCGATTGCAACGAAGTCAGTTCTCTAATTAACTTTTCTTCTGCTTAGAACGTCGTTGTGTTTGCAGTAATCAACTTCAATATGAATACTGCTTGCATTTTCACCTGTATTTTTCGTATTAAATTAATGGTAGCTAGCTAGCTGATGCTATTGAAGTGTACATTTTGATTTTTTTATGTACATGCAATTTATCATTTTACCAGTAGTCCTGTTTAAATTGAATCGTAGATGCGTTTGATGTGTTTTTATATCAAAGTGATTTATCTTGTTTTGCACTGTATTTCTCATATGACGTGTATCTCGTTTTTATTGCATTTTGACTCCATAACTAATTTTAATTGTACAATTAGAGATGTTTGTTTGGCGAAGAACGGTTTCGTATTATTTCCTCTGCAAGCTGTGTTGCCTGTCAGTAGGAGCACAGACAGAGTATTTTAATCTGTGGTAGGAGTATGCCATCATAAAACGAGTTACAGCTGTAACGGAGAAAAAACGTGAAGGTCGAATGCGCACTTGTCCTTTTTCAAATATTTTAAGCGCGGTAATTGAGTGATTAATTAATTTTACTTAGTAAATGTATATATCTTAGAAATGTTAAAATGTGGATTATAACGCAATTTCTCCGCAACTAACATTTACATATGGTTGGCCTAGCCCCGTCCGACTCTTGGGCGCGAATTCGAACGCGAAAAATAAAGCCACCCTGCGGTAAATTAATATTACAGATAGTTGACTTCACTTCGCTCGCCGGCCAAAGCGAAATACAACTGAAACGCACCCTGCGCCAAATTACAGGTTTCCGACTTATCTGCACTGATGACTCCACGTCAAACAAAAATCCCCTCTCCCCAAATTACAGGTGGTTGCTTTAACTTTTTGGATCGCTCTACCTGAACGCTGTAATGGTTCTGGAGGGATCATAAATACCGGTAGAAAACTCAAGTACAATATACACATCTTCGGTTCAATTTAGATATAACGACTAGTAAAATGATAAATTGCATGTACAAAAAAAGGACACATCAAAAGCGTAGCTCTACTCCACCATCGACTTCAATCAAATTATCACGAAAAGTAGATGTGAGAATGCCAGTAGTGAGTATTCATGTTAAAGAAGAAATTTTAATTAAAGGACACCCTTTTCGTATTAGGTACTTCCTTCGCAGAAATAGTTAAACGACTCATACAGAGAAACAACAACCGCGCAATTTTTAGAACGGGAAAAGCTGCCTGCGCCGTCTCGGAATGCACCAACGTATCTTACGTTTGGCACCTTGTTTTCAATCGCGGGCACGAAAGCCTCGTGCAGTATTTTGTATTATTTAATGTAGGCAGTAATTGCATTTTTTAAATGATGTATTGGGGTTTTGTATACAACATTTTTTATAATTTTCCATCTTTCACCCCAATGCATCACGTGTATGGGAATACCAAACCGTTAGCCTTTATTATTGTTTTCCAATCTTTTTCATTTTTGATCTAAATATATGTAACTCAATTTATGTTTGTTTTGCTTACATGATCTTGACTAGAAGTATTATTATTCATACGACACCTATAATGCCGTGATTGACTTCGACTCTCAGTTTTAGACTCGGATACCACCGGACGAGGGGCGAGTTACCTATCTCGGGGACGAGATTCTGTTAACAATAACTCTTCGGTTTAGAATCTATGAGCGATATATTAGTTGCGATTCACCGACTTCCACATATTTTGTCGTTAGTTTGATATGATCAGCAAGGCTCCCATTTTACATATAACAGAAGGGTTTTATTGCACCAAAGATGGATCTCCCGGAATGCACCAACGTATCCCACACAACCAAATTCCCGCTACTGTTTTTTTTTCAGTCACCCATTTTTTGAATCAACAGACGTCACGCTACGTACCAGGCTCGATGACGAATGCAAAATAACAACTTCTTGTAACCTGAGCTAAACGTGCCAATCCGACTCCGACTCACTGGCGCCTCAATCTTCCAAACGCATTTTCAAGATCAGGACCGTATTCAGGACTACTCGCCCACATACAACATTAAAAAATCCGGTCAAATAAAGAGACCACTGTGTACATCTTTAATAAACCAATTAAAAAAATATGCGCAACCTCAATTGAGGTTGAATTTCTTTAAAGAAATTCAACTTTAGGTCCTAAACTGGGGATAACTTTCTGTTTGACATATCTTCAACTACCAATGCTCGCTCACGCCCATGTCTTCTCTTTATTGTATCGGACCGTGCCTATTTGAAGGTAAACAAAATGGTATACAGCGTCTTAGAAAGAAACCCAACTCTGAAGCTGCAAACAAAGGGATGTATCTAGGGACGTTACATCCGACAAGAAATTTTAAAAGCGGAGCAGAAACCACCCTAACATTGATCTTGATATCCGAGAACCGAGCGTAAACTCGAATTCCAATTTTTACACCTTCCTTCACAAATGATAATATACAGTTTAGGAACTATTACCATAAATACGAACAATAGTGGAATTTTAACCCACAATGAATTAAAATTGTATGACCGTAAGTAGTAAAGTTGGTTTGTGAAGTATCGTGTAATATTGCGAGTACCGATAAAGACGTAAATAAATCATCGAAATTTTCTGATCTTCAATGGACTAAATAAACTACATGAAGTAATTCGTCGCCCGTCTGACATTGACGCACAGAATATAATATATAAGGCCGTATTCTGTGCATTGACGCTTATACCGTCGGATTAAGTAATTTTGAGTGCTCGTGTTGGAACGTCAATATCAACGACGCCATTCATTATACGAGACCTCGGATGTTGTATTGATTGTCCTTTTCAATCATTTGAAGTAGCCTAGTGGACTAATCGGTACTTTGGTGTTGGACAAATAATTTTTTACAAGAAATTTAAAATTAAAATTATTAGTACGAGGAGGCATTTTGTCGCTACCTGTTAGAATGTCTCAATTTTTTTATCAATTTCCTACATAATACATATCCAAACACCTTGCATCTCTTACGGTTGCTGGGGAAACAATTAAAGAAGAAATGCAAAACTACAAAACAACTTTGGATTCCAGGCAAAAGTACTAGCTTGTCGAATAGTCGGCCTAAAGAACTTACTCTTTCCATTTAAGAAAAAAGCGCGATCAACGTTTATAAAATATGGTGACAGTTTTATAGTCTGCACTGCATGCATACCTACTCGCGCCAAACGCTTTCGGTTAAAAAATAAAAACGAATGAGAGAGTTTTGCAGGTATATAACGACTCGCTGCTATTTAGCATAATCTTGTGAGTGTATTCCATTAACTATTATTATAAATAATTAATTAGAATATAAAGCAGTAGGTGCAAATGCTTATAATCAACGCATTGTTAGTGCAATAACCATTTTGCAACCGTAGTACAGACAACGTTATGCACTTAAGTGTTTCAATCAATAGATGGCGCACACGCGCCAAAAATGCATTTTCCGCTATTAGGTACCTAATATTTCATATCTGGATATAAATAAAAACGCCAGTTAATTTCATCAACGAAAGCACACCTTTGCGTTTTATTTTTGTTGAAAACTTCCAGACTTCCTCGGGCTTTGAGAATAAATAAAACGATAAAACTTTGCACGAATAACAAAATCCAAAAACTCATTACGAAAGGCCTTTTTACCATCACCAGAAATAACATTTCAAATTTCCGTTCTTAAATTTTAATTTTGAGTTCGGTGATTAAATTCTTTTATGATTTTGAGACAAAGGGAATAGAAGTAGCATTGGGATCAGTAAGTTACAATTACAAAGTTTGTTGAAGCACAGGCCACGCGAGGTAAGGATCCGTCTAAATTCAAAGCGTTTTACTTTTTTGAACTGCTTTCAGTTAATATTCAGCTCCGATTTGAATTAATGTACTTATTAGTTAATGAGAAAAGTTTGTCAGGTTTAGCTTTAGGTGTGTATAAATCCATGAGCAAATGACAAGTTGCATGTAAAGAAAAAAGATAATTACGGTTTTATCCTTTGTGTTAAATTGAGTTAATTAATTTCCGCCCGCGCTTTAAATTTAAAAGTCAATTAAATTAATTATTACTTTGACTGAATTCTTTTATGTATGAATATTCTTTACGCTATGGAATAGACCCTCAATAAAAGCATCAGAACGAGGCAACATTCGCTGACTTTGTTTACAAGGTTCTTCAAAGCATTTTGTCCGGAAAATTTGTGACTGATAGTGGCGAATTATTAGAAAGTGTTGAAATGTAGTATGTTAAGTGCTGAGATCTCCAACCTTCAGATGAACGGGCAGACGGACGGAATTCACACAACAATCCGTGTTTTTCACAAAAAATACGCTCAAAAATAGCCATACAATGTAACAGTTTGATACAATACAGGGGAGGGGTTGACCACCCTTGTTCGAACTATGTAAAATTGATTTCGTACTTTCTACTGCCATTACCTTACCGCAGCATGACAGTTTTTCTTTAAATCAGAAAATAAAAACGCTACAAATTCAACATGAAATTATTAAATATCTATTGCTGTGTAAACACTGTCAGTCAGGACGTTGTATTTTGTGGTGAGATATTTCGAATAAATTCGAGTGCCTAATTGTCTAATTACTGTTCATCACAATTTTTGTTTTCTCTGTTTAATGCCTTGGGTCTAACTACGTTTTAACACAGCAATTTCCCAAATCGAGCCTACTGTTAAGATATTTGTTTGCCTTCTTTATAAATGATAAGGTTTTCTTGGAATGGTTAGATTAACGAATTTTTGCACCCAATTTTTGTTTGTTTGTAAAGGTGCTTATCAATGCAAATGTGACAATTTCGATGTGATTTATTAAGTTTTCCGTTTATTTCATAGAGATAAAGGTAATCATTTGAGATAACGTGGCCATTTCAATTTTTAAGAATAATTGGATTATTAGGTAGAAATTGCTGAATTTCGTTTAAAATTTCTAGTGCGGACGTGTCGTTTTGAGTTTCATGGTATTGGTTATCGTCGTTTCTGTGCAGTCGTTATTGGTTAAAAAAGTGTTTCGAAAATTAAGTGGCATTTCCGTTTAAATACGGGAAATTCCACATAGCATTATTTATTTGGCGGCCAACGTGGGGCATTGGAATAAGTTAAGATTTCCTGAGACTTACGAATTGTTCTCAAAAGTTTATACTGCGTTAAATATGATCCTTAAACTAAGCGACAATCTGCAGAATGGAAGTCAAAAAACGAACGAAAACCAAACAATGACTTTTCCAAAAGTTCAAGACATTGATCTTGAGGGTGTTGATCACAAAGAATATGGGATAGGATTCTTGGAGACATTAACACCATTTGGAAACTCATTGAAATTATTGGTGATTCTTACAGGCCAATGAAAGACTCTTGAAGACTCAGTAAAAGCGATTCTAAGAGCATTTACAGTCTTTAGAGACCAATAACACGTTTTTAAGGATATTAAAAGCCCTTCAAGATTTAACTTTTAAATACTACTGAAGACTAAGATCCTTAAAGACGACATGTCAAATAAGGGTTGTAAAAGACCTGGAAACTGTAAAAACGATTCTCTTAAGTACTTATTATATATACAAGCGTTCCTTTGGGGTCTTAAAGTCCTTTCAAGGTTAAGATTTAAAACTTTATCAAAGATTAAAGCATGTTTATTAAGGGTTCTAAAAGCCCTTGGAGGTATCTTAAATACCTTTTAAAACCTTTAAAAGTATTGAAAGACTCAGGAAAGCTCTTATAGGCTCGGCTCTTAAAAGGAAGACAAAATGTTAAGGAGCAAAGTGCTTTAAATACCAATTATACACGTGCTTCTTAGAGTATTTTTTAAAAATTATACTTGCAATATAATTTAAAAATAAAAGTAATTAAAATATTATAATCGAATATATGTCTAATTGAGTGGGCTGTTTATTCGTAATTCCGTCATTGCCATAGAAATATCACTTGACGTTTGTTTATAAAAATCACCGTCTTTGTCAATAAAATGACTTCGATTCAAAAAGATAATACACCGTCCATTCAATGGCTTGTCGCAGAAGCAGAAAAAAGTCTTAAATGCATCGATACTGCTGGCATATATGAAGGAAATGTCAAAGGTGTTTAAATCTTCTATCATTTGGAGCATTCATTCAAAACTTGAAACAATGGTGCGATTAAGAAATGTAACACATTTGGCAGCATACATAGCCAGATACCAGTTTCATAAGTCATATTTCCATGATTCCATGATTACCATGGAAATGTCACTCGACGTTTGCTTATAAAAATCACTGTATTTGTAAATGAAATGACTTCGGTTAAAAAAGATAATACACCGTCCATTCAATGATTTGTTGCAGAAGCAGAAGAAAAGTTGGTTTGCGCGTTCAAAACGGAGAACGTGATTCAAGGTATAATAAACAAGCTTTTATGAACGGATGCACATCCATAAAGTCCATAAAATTAGATGTCAATAAAATGTTGTGGTTGTCGCGTTTATAAAAACTTTCGTTACATAAATTACCTTTAAGGATACTTTTAATGACTCATAGGAGATTTCAAAGTTCCTTCAAGAACTCTTAAAACATATTAGGGATTTTTAACATTTTAAAAAGTCGAATTTAATCATTCCTCTGGAGATACATCAAGATGAGATCTACAGGACTACCTTCGAGGACATACGGGGGAGAAGTTATGCGGCTTTCCTTGGTGTACCACCTGAAGTCCTCAGGGGCGTTTCTAGATTTTATTTTAAGTTGCTAGATTAGCTAACCACTTTGTTCGTGTATCATTTTCACTTTAAAGGTTGTAAATTTACCCAACACTTTTTTAACAAACAACTGGTAATTTCTATTATGCAAGTATATATAAATAATTATTGGTTGAGTATCACTGAAATTTTGGAGAATTATGATGGGTGCTAAAGGCGAGTTTGGGCATTGGACCCTTACTTTCCTGCGCTTGACTATTTTGTGAGCACGTTGGTAGAAGGCAGCTTTTGAGCGAATAAATTTCTCTCATTTTAGAGGCTTTAAATTGGGTTTATTAAATACGTAAGTGACCGCCATTGACTAAATCAATTATTATCTGGTGTATTCTTTTTAGGAACTTTTTTTCGCTTTATATGGAGTATGAACCAAGTTAACCATGGCCCTAAGTAATCATATTATTTTCTACTAACCCTCTTATTAATTGGAGGTATGTTAATTTTTTGGTTTCGAAGAGAAGTTACATGTGATTTCCTTTAGGGCTTCTTTTTTTAATTACCAGTTTTAATTTTCATTTTGAGTTTCTGGCGTTTAATTACAAGTTTTAATCAACAATGGGACATGTTTCTTATCAGTTCACTTGGCCAGCCGTGCCGGTGACATAGTGTGGAATGCGTACGCGAATGCAAGGCCAACCTCTCATTGGGACTAACCTGTAATGAATAGAGCTTTAATTGGGTTATTAGAATTTATTTAATTTTTGATATTAAACAACTTTGTAATTAATGGATAATTCCTCTTCAAGGGTTATACCTAGGTACGTTAATGTTCTTAAAAAGTTGAACGTAATTTGCTAGTAATTCATTATCATCACCAATCGATATATTATCTCATAAACATGTTTGGCCATCGAATGCTTATGTCTGGGGGGTGTTAACTTCCCTCCACAACTACTACGTCGTTTCCCAAATTATAATTTTCAATTTGATCATTTACTATTGCATCAGGTGTGGCCCTAAAAAACAAGCGTGCAGTATAAGCATGCATAACAAACCTGTAATAGTGTTAATAGCATATAACTATTTAAATTTTATGTAATTAGAATATTGTACCACCGTTTGTGCTTATTATTGCGAATTTATAATAAGGAGACACCTTTACCTTGTCTACGCTACGTAACTTTTGCTTTTTCTGGTTGCATTATATAAAAAAGTAATTTCATATGGCACCTTCTGGTGTTAGGAAGGGGAATTCTAAAGGTAACTGACCATTGTTTTTAATTTATTCTTCTTATTTATCATCCACAAAATAATCTCCAAAATGCCAAATTACTTATTCAAAACTACATTCCGCATATTTTAAAATTACCAGAAATAACGAAGAAAATTGTTGTAGCGTTCAACTTTTCTAAGATAATTTAATGTAATGTTCTTCGGTTGAATGAGTTTGCGTTTTACTCGTTTATTGTGATACAGTTTCCATTGCATTAACAACTCATTTTAAAGACACGCGATTCACTAAACTGCCTGCATACATCCATTTGGTTTTCGCCCTAAATGTGCAAATAAACGCGAGCACTAACCGTAATATACACCAGATGTGCCGCGTTTTCCATTCTTTTCGCCAAATCAATTTTTGGATCACTCTCCCTCGTTAGCCATTTTTTTAAATTATAATGTGCTACTACGAGCGTTTTTCCATTCGTCTGTCTGTGTGAGGGACGAGTTCTTGGAACTGGAAGGTCGTTGAAAGCTTGCTTTGATGGCTGATCTGAAATGTTCTTTTATTGCTAATCATTTCGGGATGATGCCCAAATTTAGGCAAAATGTTCTATTACTCACCAATTTCGCCGGGGAAATGGCAAAACACATTGACTTGATGACCTTTGTAACGGGAGCTCGCTTTAAGGGGTTGAACATGGTAAGGAGTATGCAGGGTGTTCTTATTAGAGGGTTACTTTCGAACAAAATTAATGAGTTTTGGAAGGCGTCAGTCTGTCGGGGCTGTCTTGATGGGGTTTACGTGCCCAAAACAGCTAAGTCGGAATTACGCCAAATGATTTCGTTTCGAGGGAAACGCTTAATTTGCAAAATTAAACGGACGTGACTCCCGTGGGCTTTTGATGAATGGCTTCGTGCTCGCGAGATCAATTTTTATGCGGTTAGCTTAAAAAAAGTAAAAACGCCAGTCGTTGTTATACGGGACACGTGAAATTAGGTGATTAGTAGATTTTTCGTACTTCCGAGACTAAAGTGACAACTTCACTCCATTATGACAAGTACTGAAGTGTCACTTTTTGTCCCGCCGGGATTAAATTTGGACGAAAATCCCGGAAGGATGAAATTACTAACAAGACAATTTCAGCAGGTTGTTCCACATTTTGTACGCGGCACTACTTCTTGAACGCATCGTACTGCTGCTCTTAGAGTTTTTTGGATTTCGGTGGTATCAATTCTTTACCTACTTTGGCTGCTCTTTTATCAATATCAAATACACCTTTGTCACCCACCACCAAAATTATGACACTAGCAATGACAGTTTCCAAATTATTTTTGTTACCATAGCATAGGAATTGTCATACCAACGCAACGTTCCTATGGTAACTTGTTAAGCAGCGATTTTTTTAAAGAACGCGTTCTCTAACTCCATACATATTAAAGTAGTTAGAGCGCGTTCGGCTGAGGTCAAGTCATGTACTCGGCCTATCTATTACTTACGGTAAACGTCCCCAAAAAAATGTTAATATGAAGGAAATAATTAGAAATACGGTATGAGTGGTATTTTTTAAAATAATACATATTATACAGTAGTCAACTTGACTAGTCTCCCTACTTTTCGACCCTGTTTCAAACCTTTGCACACTAAATGTTGACGACACACCGCGACTAAATATTCACAGTGTAAGCGGTAAATCCTAAACGAATATATTTATTTTTAATCAAAACGTATGCGAGACGTATGTAAAATCCGGGAAACTAAACAATTTGGCGTTTTACGTGAAGTCGGTGTAGTGGATTTGGTTTTTCGATGTTGGCGCCACAGATCCCCAGCCGCTATCTTGATCTAGATCCGATCAGTGTGTCAACAAGACGTGTGCAGGCCTTTATAAATATCGCTGGTTTTGGCGTTCTTTCTGAAAGACACCATGCCTTTTGTGAAGAAAAGTGCTCAGCAGACGAAGGAAAAGATTGTCCTAGCTCAGCTATATACTAGACCTAGTGGAAAAGTCATCAGATTTAAACGCGTGCTGCATAGCGTGCCGCCGCGTCAGAGCAGACGCCGCTTCGGCGGTAAATATCTTCCTTATTTCATCATGAACACGTACTTTTCCGTGCATATTTAGATTTGTCACAAAATTTCGCTTCTAATGAGACCCATCGCATTTAAGTCTTGATACAAAACCCTTCGCTAGCTCAAAAAAACCGAGTGTGTCCATAAGAGCCCATGTTAAAATACCCTGTTTTTACTGTCAAATATCTCAGAAACGGCACATAGGAACAGTTTTTTCTTTTGACCATTAGAAAGTGCGTCTCTCAGAGAATAAGTGACCAAATTTTCACCAACTTCTTGTTACTTTTACCTAGGCGCTCTAACTACTTTAAGTGTTTCAGTTTCGGAAGTACGAAAAATATCGTATATACCTTGCGACTGAAGTAGTGGTCTTAATCCCTCAGGTAAATTATGGCCCTCCCTTCGGTCGGGCCATAAACTTTACCTTCAGGATCAAAAGTACTACTTCAGTCCCGCGGTATATAATATACTATTGTTTATTCATTTTTTATTGTATTTTGTTTTTGATCTTTATTTTTAAGTGGGCGGGCTTTCACCAACAGAACCCACTGTACTTAAAGACAAAACAGTGACAAATGATCCTTGTCGACTCTGTTCACCAACATCAGTAACAAACCAACACATAATATCGGCATGCACACGGACTTGCACAAACAGAATACAAACGTCAACGTGATCAGGTACATAAAATCATACATCAAAAATTAGCCTTTAAACATAATCTCATAACACATGAGACACCAAATACACTCCACAGATAATACTTGAAAACAACACACATAAATTATATTGAGACAGGACTCTACTCACAGACAAAATACTATCCACAATAATAGATCATACATTAAACTTACAGATAAAACACAAAAATCTATTTGCATAATAGACATTGCCACTCCTAACACAAACAACTTGACTAAAACACATGTACAAAAACACCGAAAATACACCGATATAGCTCTCGAACTTATAATATAGAAAGAGATCTATTGTTATAATTGCCGTTATTCTTAGTCGTACCGGAGTTATACCAAAAACATTACGACGCAGTTTACAAACTTTAGATAGATTAATTTTTCTCTTATCACGCTTCCAACTTAGCGCCTTCGTGACTTAGCGTTGAATGCTTCTCTCATCTTAATCCACACTTTTTTTAATTTTACAACCACGCCTTCAAAATGGATGCTAATCGGCTTCGGCGGTCATCTTTAACCAATAAATTTTGGCTTCTTTTACCAATTTCACGTTAAAAAAACAATTAGCCACGGCGTCAGCATTTTTCTACAAGTTTTGCCAGAACCTCAGATGTTCTCAGGTTGCGCCACTAAACGGATACTACCGCCAGACTGGCACGACCAACTTTTCTCACGCACTTAACCGACTAATGCCGACAATCATTCACTTACTACACGTCCAAGGGGGGCCAATTCGAAAATACTTGTAGAAAAAAATATTTAAATGTGAAGACGATCAGTTCCCAACCTCAAATTACTCTTAAAAAATTGTATACGGCATCACCTCTTATTATTCATTGGGAAAATTACTTACCCCTCGTCCAAGGGGGGCAAATTCGAAAACAATTGCTTGAAAAAATTATTTAAATGTGAAGACGATCAATCCCAACTTCAAATTATTCCTAAAAAATTGTATACGGCATCGCCTCTTATTTTTCATTGGGAAAATTACTTACCCCTCGTCCAAGGGGGGCAAATTCGAAAACAATTGCTTGAAAAAATTATTTAAATGTGAAGACGATCAATCCCAACTTCAAATTATTCCTAAAAAATTGTATACGGCATCGCCTCTTATTTTTCATTGGGAAAATTTAACTATGTTATTCGAAAAAAAGTTATTTAAATGTGAAGACGATCAGATCCCAACTTCAAATTACTCTTAAAAAATTGTATACGGCATTCTCTTATTATTCATTGGGAAAATTACTTACCACCGTCCAAGGGGAGCAAATTCAAAAATAATTGTATGAAAACATTATTTAAATGTGAAGACGATCAATTCCCAATTTCAAAATACTCTTTAAAAATCGTATACAGGATCACCTTTTATCATTCATTGGGAAAACTACTCGTCCAAGGGGGGCAAATGCGAAAATAATTGTAGGAAAAAAATATTTAAATGTGAAGACGATCAGATCCCAACTTCAAATTACTCTTAAAAAATTGTATACGGCATCACCTCTTATTATTCATTGGGAAAATTACTTACCCCTCGTCCAAAGGGGGCAAATTCGAAAACAATTGCTTGAAAAAATTATTTAAATGTGAAGACGATCAATGCCAACTTCAAATTATTCCTAAAAAATTGTATACGGCATCGCCTCTTATTTTTCATTGGGAAAATTACTTACCACCGTCCAAGGGGGGCAAATTCGAAAACAATTGCATGAAAAAATTATTTAAATGTGAAGACGATCAATCTCAACTTCAAAATACTCTTCAAAAATCGTATAGAGGATCACCTCTTACCATTAACTGGGAAAATTATTTACCACCCGTTCAAGGGGGGCAAATTCGAATATAATTGTAGGAAAAGGTTATTTAAATGTGAAGACGATCAGATCCCAACTTCAAATTACTCTTAAAAATTGTATACGGCATCGCCTCTTATTATTCATTGGGAAAATTACTTATCACCGTCCAAGGGGGGCAAATTCGAATATATTTGCATGAAAAAATTATTTAAATGTGAAAACGATCAGATCCCAACTTCAAACTACTCTTCAAAAATCGCAGGTATACAGGATCACCTCTTACCATTCACTGGGAAAATTATTTACCACCCGCCCAAGGGGGTAACTCTTGAATTTTAATAATTTAAATCTGACCTTAATTTACTACGAAATTTGATATGCTCAAAATTCCCATTTTGTAAAAAAAAACCTTCCGAAGTCTCTTACATAAAGTACATGAAATACTTTGTTAATTAGCAGAATCTTCTGCAGTCCAGAAGGTATCTGAAGGTCCTGGACACGGCAACCCTAGACTGAAGTTGTATTTCGAGATGAATGCCGCTAAGTAATTTTAACACTCCAGCATTTACGTCTGCATGGACGAAACAGTTAAAGGCAGATTCATACACAAGGAATTGAAATCGCTAATCAAACTAAATGTATCTCCAGCGGCGTCTGTATATACGCTAACGGTACTTGCCGTTTGAAATTTTGAAACCAGACAGCTCAGAATGGACGAAAATACCATAGTGGAACCTCCAAGAGAAAACCAAAAAAAAGCTGAACAGCGAAGAAATAAATTGGCTAAAATTGATCAATTCCTGAAGCCTCACAAGCAATTCAAGTTTTTTTTAAAGCTCAGAGTCTAGTAACGTCAGAAGATCGATATGAGGATGCTATCTTTATTAAAGAATCCGAATCTTCTGGGGTGTATTTCTAGTGAACTTTCATTTATATATTTTTAATATCGGTCATGAAGAATCTCTGGAATTTATTTTCAAGTTTTAAACATAACCAACAGAGGGCGTAACTGCCATCTTAAATTTTCATTTTCTTTAAATTTCGCATAATAAACTTAAAAATTGTTTTTCACGTTTTTAAAGAGAACCAGTACGTTTGTTTATCTATCATTTTCGTAAAAACAAAAACTCAGTTATTTCAAAAAAAAAGATGGTGTGGGGCGTTCAACTGTTTTTGCAATAACCTTCTTTAACTGCTTAACGGTTTGACCGATTTTAACAAATTTGGTATGGTTGAAAAGAGCCAGGGGCGGTTTTATACATCTAATCGGGGGGGGGGGGGGGCGAAAATAAAAAAAAGCTACAGAATTGCAGATGCAGAGGTGCGCGGGAATTTTTTTTAAGTAGCTCTGACCCAATTTCAGCTGTCTTTTTGTTCTATTTATTGCCGCATTAATTTCCGAATACTGACGAAGGACAGAAAAAATACGAGAGGCGATAATGATAGTGCTAAAGCGGTAAAACTAAATTAGGTAAATA